TTCACCTGTGCGTTGTCAAAACGTGACCTTGTTTTCTCTGTGGGATTCCGTCCTTGCGCGCATGCGCAAAAATACTTACACGTGAGGCATGATAAAGGGTTTTCCACAAATACCACCTGTTTACAGATAAATAGGCAATGTGATGAAAACTTGTTTAATTATCAGAATTTTGACCAATATTACTATATAAAATAATTTTATGGCTTTGATGCGTAAAATAGCATGCATACAAGCATGCCATCGCATGTGAATGCGTTGGGGTAACGGTACCGGGTAATAGATATGTATACGCGTTTAATCTACTTTCTATTTCCTGAATTACATCTATTTATCTCTTAGAAAATGGTCTGTTCAACAATTATAAATGAAAAATATGTCCGATATAATAAAATTGTATAATTATAATCGGTTAAATTTTATGTACGGGAGTACATTTATTTATTTCTCTTCATACAAAATAATGGATAATTTCGGTACCCCATATGAGGCCTCATAACTAAGGGTTATTCTATGTTTAGAACATGATGGAATTTCCATGATTTGTTTGACGAGCCGAATATTGATGTGTAACATTTAAATTTTGGTGAGTGAGCGTAATAAAAAAAAATGTTTAAGTAACTACGATTTTTGTACGGGAACTGCTCGCATGCCAGTACAGAGATGTTTTCTGTTTGTGTGTTCAAAGCAGTAGAACCAAGAAGCAAGTTTTATTTTCATTTTTTTCGGAATGAATTTGTCGTATTATTTCTTAAAATTTCAATAGTAACAAAAATGTGTTTGTACTAAATACGCTTAAGGTCTCATAATAAAAATAAAGCGATGCGTGCTGACAACCTACTTTCACTTTTACAGTTAACTGTTTGATGACGTTAAATGTGACGTCATTGTTTCAGTTTGTGCACATGTTCTGCGGGCTGATAACTAGTTCTCGGCCCCGGGCCGCAAACTCATAATAGGTCACGTGACACTCATAATCAGTTGAAATCATAGGCAATTTTGTTACTATATATAGTAACAAGTGTATTAATGAGGTTTATTTCTCATAAATGCATGAAGTTTTGAGCAAGAGAATAATTCTGAAAATCAAGGTTAAATGGTGATGATATTATCTATCTTATACAAAAAAAATGAATAATTGCTTGTTTTAATTTTTAAAACAAAAATTCTAGAAGAAGAAAAAGACTGTCCTTTGAAATTTAAGCGAATTGTGTATTTCAAGGAGGAAAAAAATGTGTTTGATTCAGAGGGATTTCATTTGGATTTTTTCAATCGAAACTTTTCTGCCCTTTCCGTCAGTCTTCGGATAAGGACCTCGAACACAATAGTATGAATGAAAGTCCACCTAAAATAAGTGAATTCATAGATACAAAATCAAATAATGCATTATTTTTATATTTATTATTATGGTTGTAGAAAATTTCGAGACGATGTTTGGTGATTGGTAAACTGAATGAATTGATGTAAGTTTTTTCTTTTTTATTACATTTGAAATTAAAGTTATTTATCAATTTCAGCTGTGGTTTGCGCTAAACAGCCATGACAATGTCTGAATTGTAAGCAAACAAATGAGGTACTAAATGGGGGACATCTTTAAAAAGTAGTCTCTTCAATGAAAAGTGTGTAATTATATTTAGATAATTTTCACTGTGCAATTATCAAATATGTGTAGATAAGGTTAAATTTAACCAAGTGATCTTTTTACAATGTTTTCGGTAGTAATTTCCCTTAAAGGCCAGACCAAATATATTGTGGTGTTATGTGTTCATGTTTGTCTTTTGTCCTTTTGTTATAGATGATTGAACTGTTTTTGCAAGTTGAGTGATGGATGATTGATTTTGGTATGCAAGCTACTTTTAGATGATTTGGTTCTGGGATAGCTAATATTTCTTGGTAACTGACCACTCCTTTCATTGCTTCCAAAGTAATAGGATCATTTAAAAGTTTATAATATCTTCATTGTCTCATTTATTTCTTGATAACAAATACTTGATATTTATATTATAATTATATATATATATATTTATTTAATTTTACCCATGAAATATGGTGCTATATCAGTCAAATATATTTCATATTTTTTAAAAATAAATATGAAATATAAATATGAAAGTGGGCGGAGTCAAAACTCATATTTATTTTAAGGGACTTCTTTCGCCGTTTTGTTTGAAAAATCTGATAAATAAAAAACAACTTTTCTTGAATATTGTTTTGAAAACTATCTAGCATGATAGAAAATGGTCTAACTAAGAAAATTAATCCGAACACCAATATCTTTAATTCAGTAATTAACGCTGTACAGACGTTTAAAGAGTTGTTTACATGACGTCACAATGTAGCGCCAAACAGCGCGTGCTTACGCATAAATTACTGCGCACTGTACAATTGCTGTTGGTAGCAAGCAAGGGGATTCGTAACCATTTTCTTTGATAATGAAATTAAATAAAAAGGTTATTTTTTCGTTTTTCGTGAAATATGGTATATATTTTCACTCAACATGATAAAATGCCACATATTTTCACTCGCCGTACCGTCTCGTGAAAATATGTGGCATTTTATCATGTTTCGTGAAAATATATTCCATATTTCACGAAACGAAAAAATATCCTCTTAATATTTATATTATTTGTGAAGTTGTTTTTATTGTAATTTGAATTGTTGTATAATATTTTGTATTATGTATTTTGTGAAATGTATTTGTCTTGTAAAATATTTGATTTGTAAATATATATATAAACATCACCAAGTGTTTGTTGAAAACCCCACCACTACATATAATTTTCACGAATACATCAATAATCCATTCAAAAGCATAAAATAAAATTGTTAATTATATACTTATAAATGAAATATTGAATAATATTGATGAAATAAAATGCGTATTTTCATTTTCCGTATCATCACTGTAAAAATTTATTTTTCACTGCAGTGAAACATATTTTCCGTATTTTCACTGGTGTCTTGCCGGACTACTTTCTTTTAAATTCTGCCAGTACACAAAATTTAAGGGAAAGTCTTTCAAAATTTATCGCAAAAAAAGAGAAAAATGTATATAATAAACAGAAAATTCAAGTTTTTTCTTTAAATACATGATTTATTTTCATCTTGTGGCATGAAAATTACCATATTTCACTTGTGGCTACCGCCACTCATGAAATATTTATTTTCATACCACTTGATGAAAATAAATCATGTATTTATAGAAAAAACTTGAATATCCTCTATATATTGAAAACAATATTTTGTATATTCAAAACATTATTGCGTATTCAGAAAGATGATGTTGATGCGGTAAACTGTTCATCAAACTTGGCTTTGAAAGTTAGAAACATTCTTCAAGAAGCAGGATTCAATAAAGCTATTTGTACCTATTTCCATGGAATAGATTATGAGATATTTACATATTAAGTTGTTTAAATCGGGAATATAAGATCACATTTAAACAATCCTTATATATGAAATATACTAAAAATATTGACATTTCTTACCCAAAATAATATTGTCGTCACGCAAACTTAAGTAATTAAAACAGTAAAGTAAAGTAAAGTAAAGTAAAGTAAAGTAAAGTAAAGTAAAGTAAAGTAAAGTAAAGTAAAATAAAGTAAAGTATAGTAAAGTATAGTAAGAAAGTAGGTAGTAAGGTAAGGGAATGTTAGGTAAAGTAAAGCCCAGTGAAGTGAAGTAAAGTAAAGTAAGGAAGTAAATTAAAGTAAAGTAAAGTAAAGTAAAGTAACGTAACGTAAAGTAAAGTAAGTGAGTAAGTAAGTTGGTAAAGTAAAGTAAAGTAACGTAAAGTAGTAAAGTAAAGTAAGAAAAAGTAAGTAAAGTAAAGTAAAGTTAAGTAAAGTAAAGTAAAGTAAAGTAAAGTAAAGTGAGTGAGTGAGTGAGTGAGTGAGTGAGTGAGTGAGTGAGTGAGTGAGTGAGTGAGTGAGTGAGTGAGTGAGTGAGTGAGTGAGTGAGTGAGTGAGTGAGTGAGTGAGTGAGTGAGTGAGTGAGTGAGTGAGTGAGTGAGTGAATGAGTGAGTGAGTGAGAGTAAGTAACTAAGTTTAAGTAAGTATGTAAGTAAGTAAAAGTAAGTTCAAGTAAGTAAGTAAGTAATTTAATAAGTAAGTAAAGTAAGTAAGTAAGTAAATAAGTCAAGAAAGTAAGTAATAGTAGGTAGGTAGGTAGGTATAGGTATAGGTAGGTAGGTAGGTAGGTATGTATGTAGGTAGGTAGGTAGGTAGGTAGGTAGGTTACGACTTTATTAAATGATGCTAAAACATTCGGTTTCCTGATCTTCATTGCGGGCCGAAATTAAGTTTATCTTAAATAAAAATAAAGAATAAAATTAAAGTGAATTGATAATAGATTATTGAAGGGGGGTAAATGCTTAAAATATTTGCCCTGTATTGTTTCATCAGTTATTCTCCTTCTTTTGTCATTTTGCTTTGCTTTTTCCTGAATTGTATTGACAGGCACTACTAAAATTCCCAAATATAAAACAAAATGAATTGTAGTTAAATTTGATAATGTAAGGTGAAACTAGACAAAGTTTTGACCGTTACTCATATACGTTTATTCAACTGCTTTTTGAATTACTTCTTTCCCATTAAACATTCTCACACTTCATGAGTCATTATTATTCAGTTATATTTGTTTATGCCATATGTCATTCATGTATCATATGATGTATTCATATATGTAATATGGTGATAATTAGCTTTTTATGCATAAACCGAGTAATGATATTTATGTTCTGTTCTGTTCTGTCTGCAGTATACAATGCACATAAGCATTTTGATTTGATTGAATGAGTTAAATTGCCGATCGGTGGTAATTCACAAAACGTAAGTGATTGAACACAAGATGTAGTAATTCAAACATATATATAACTTACTGGCGGGGATTTTTTTGTACAAAAATCGTAAACAAATTGACTGAACAAGTGTCGTTTCAATATATATATATATAATCTTAAAAAACAGCAACAAATAACAACAATAACACAACAGCAACAAAAAAACGTATTTTATCGTATTATCACACACACGCACACACACACGAGGATATTGAATGAGTGTAGGTTTAATACTAAATTTATTGAACGAGTTGAATAAAATCATATTATGCTCGCCAGAGGCTCGCATAATATTTTTTATTCAACGAGTTCAATAAATTTAGTATTGAATCTACACGAATATAATATTCTATTTATCACATATATAAAATAAGAACGGTAAACTGTTAACAAGAGTCATTTTTCTTTGACGCGCCTATAGTGTAACGCTAACATTAGCGCGCTTTAACGCTATGTTTATAGTGCAAATGACGTGACGTCAAAGTGTTATTACACTAGTGTAATGTCGTCTAGTGTAATATCGTTTTTATTAAATGGCTTTATTACACTCCTGCGCCGCGGTTTATGTGATATATATATATATATATATATATATATATATATATATATATATATATATATATATATATTGTCATATTTTATTTTTCAAGTTCCATCTTTTTTTCAGTTATAATGTAGACACTACAAGGTTTCATGCTTATAAACAATAACAAAAAATATGTAAAATATAATAGATGACTAATGCATCTTTCGGATCTTTCTTGCAATAACATCTGCAGAAGCACGAGCCCAAGTACGCAGGGCGAGGAATTTAAGTCCGATGGCTTCTGCAGATGTTTATGCACGAAAATAGATGCATTAGCGCTATTTTTGAATAAAAGTAGACGTCTGAATTTGTAATTCTATGTGTAAGCAGTGTCTTTCAAATAGAATGGTCTGGAAACACGCTTTGTAAACCCTTCTCGCTACAATTCAACATGTCTGAGTATAACTCGGTATAGTTTGCTATATGCAAATTATGTAAGTGTTCAAGAAAAGGGTGCAAATTAAATACAAGAGTAAAAATGAAAGTTCTAACAACATGATGTTCTTTAAAAATCTTTAAACTTGTGAAAAATATATAAATATTTCAGAAAATAATGTTTTTAAAGCCATAATCTGTTGAAGAATATTGATTGCTTGTTCAGAATATTTGCCGAAAAAACGGCGCCATTTTGAAAATATAACAAATTAAACATAAAATATTTGTAAATAACATCGTGAAATATTATAAAATCTTTACATAATACGATTCAATAACTTTTTTCTCTGTAAAAGCAATTTCTATTTTTCCACTGAACAATGCATACAATTAAAACAAGCCTATGAAACTCGGACCTATTTTCAAATATGAACAGTAGATTTTTACCTTGACACCGGGAACGATAAAATTTAATTTCTTATTTCATTGTAAATTCAAATTAAAAAAAATGATAGAGTAATGCACCCAGGATTAGTTTTCAGTAAGTTTTGTGATTGATTTAACACAACATTAATTTAGCTTATAATTTGATTTTTGAACTGTGTGATGTACTGTGCCAGATCAACATAATCACCTGAATCAGCCGAGACAACTTTTTTCGTAAAAGTGGTCCGACTCCAGACCATTATTTTTGAAAGACCCTGGTGTAAGAGACCATTTTCACAAGCTTTCCACGTGATAGTGCGATGTCATTTGACAGTCACGAGAATATGTCCGTTAATTAGAGATACATTTCAGTTTTGAGTGCATTGTTGTAGAATAATGCACGGTTCGAATTCAATTGCGCAGGAATATAATTACAAGTATGAAGGTCTATGGAAGGGTATTAACAAAAATTACATCTTGCTTTCTTGCGTTACATAGTGTTTTCTAACTTGTACATCTTGCACTCTGACTTGTACATCTTGCATTCTGACTTGTACATCTTGCTTTCTGACTTTTACATGTTGCTTTCTTACATGCACATTATGCTTGCTGCTGTGTGCGTTTTCTTTTATTGTATGTTGATATCATTATTTAACGATCAATTATTCTGGTATATTAATTCAATAACTTAACCTGCAACTGTTTGTATTTGGTTCTATTTACTCAGCTTGAAAGGTAGAACGTAGGCAGCAAGCATAATACGACGCGACATCTGTGGTGTAATAATATGTGACACCCAAATTATGCTAACAGGTGGCGCTACAGTTAATTATATTTTCGGTAAAGTCCGTATTGCGGTTCGGATTCAGTTTACCAAGTTACGTCCCTTTGTTTTAAAATTTCCATTTCCACAATGGAGTTAATAAGGTAAACAAATATACAAAACGATTTAACCAATTTTTGTATTTATAACTGAAACTCTGTGGGTCAAATTGTATTTCCAGCTGACAATGACAAGTTGCACATTTCCAAATCAACGATTTTAGAATTATTTTTTTATCAACAAAATAATTATAAAATAGAACAGTTGTTTAAAGTGCTTGGGTCATAAAAAAACTTGACAAATGATCAGATGATAAAAAATCAACCACATGACATCAACCGTAACAAATAAGATTATGGCTAAATTGCAAATAAGGAACATAACTATTGTGATGGATATTCGGATACTCGTATATTTTCGGTTATTTCCGTATGGTTCCGTACATGTTTCCGTGTAGTTTGCAACCTGCCTTGTTGTATTGCACACAGTGCGTGCTTCCATGTATTATTCATACATGTATAATCGATTTACATAGATTTCCTATTTTTGTATACATTAAATGTAGACAGTTTACGATCATTATGATTATACTGAACTGATTTTAGCATCAAACATATAACTTTAACGTAGACAAATTTGAAGATAATCAAATAACAAACGATTCATGCAATTTAAAGCAAAATGTGCAAGTCATTATGCAAGATGTGCAAGCCAGAATGCATTGTGTGCATGTCATAATGCAAAATGTAATAGTAAGAGTCCAGTCAGAAAGCACAATGTAACGTAAGAAGGCAAGATGTAATTTTTGCGTTAATACCCTTCCATAGATTTTAAATTTTATCCAAAACATTTTCCAATATGAACTGTTGGTCAATCACCATTTGAACAGTCAATATTTTGAAATATATAGTCAGTTCAGATCAACTTGAATATGAAAGTATGAGCATAAGGTCACTTAAACCACAGGGAAATCTGTCATTTTTATTAAATCTATATACATATAATATAAACAAGGGATACAAGTCGTGGCCTCGCACTACCAGCACGGGTTCGTAAAATGCATTCACACATCAAGACTAATTGCAACACTGATATTCAATCCAATGTTTGACTTAAACAATTTGAAAAAAAGGAGTAACTGGGATTTGAACTCCAGACCTCTCGCTTCCTAGGCAAGCCACGGTGAATTTATATGTTAACGGCCTGAAGAAAACCATATAATTCTAAATTAGGGTTTCTGTTGTTTAACGCTTGTGTAAATAGTCATGGCGCTTACTATAAGCATGTACATCTATAAAGAATAAAACAATATTAGAAATCTTCGACCATTCGGGAATTATTTTGCTTGAAAATTAATGCGCCTGTCATGTGACCATATTTACGCAGTGATCTCCCCTGAATTGTTCGGCCTTTGTGTTACATATAAAGGGAAGTAACCGCTTCAAAAACGCGGACTACTTTCGGCAATTGCAATTAACAGCATTAGTGTCTGAAATTTCGCTACCATTATTTGTTTGGTCTGACGACCAAAACAAATAAAAAACTGTTGTTTACTGCGTTGTATTTACTTTTTCATGAATTGAGCAATTTTGACTTGTATCCCTTGTTATATTATATATATATAGTGGGAAAGGAAAAAAATAACAGAATCCCCTGTGACTTAAACTTGAGGGCAGATAGATTGAACTATTCGGCTAACAGTTAGTTTCAGCCCATTTACAGTTATACAATCATGCTGTTATGTCTTTAGCGCTGTTTTTGCGCAAGAAAGATTTTTAAAATCGATTGACACGATACCTAAAAAACTAACTAAATGTCCGTTCAGAAAAAATACTGATACAGGTTATGTCATATTGTTAGATGTCCATATGTTATTTCGTCAATGATTTGTACACTTCTGAGAACTCACTAGTCTCTCCAGGTAACCTTCGCAACCTGAGAAAAAGTAACATATACTGATAAACAAAATCAACAAGAACTAGTTTGGTAAACACAAATACCCCGGCTCAGATTCTTGTCAGTAACAATTTTGTAAAAATGTTTTACCCATTCACCCAGCTATGGACAGAAAAACTGCCAAATCAAGTTGTAAATGCAGTTGTGTAACCTGATAGAGTCATGGCAACTTGTTATTGTGAAAAATAGAAGTTGGCATATCATTGTTATTTGAAGGAGTTGGACAATATTCAACTTAATTAAATATAAATAATATCCAATATGTACATGTTTATAAATGCAAGACCTTGACATTGAACCCAAAATTAAATGATTCTCAGATATGTTCCTTCTAAATTTGAGAAATTTGTAAAAACAGTACAAAGGTTGTATAAGAAAAAGTGCAAAAATCTTTTGTTACCAAAGGTGACCTTGACCTTGTGACTCCCAACACTGGATCATCTAAGATATTTTCCTTCCAAATATCAAAATATCATCAATAGATAAAGACTGTATCACAAGGGGGTCATACCATGCGCGCGCATCCTCAAAATTCTTATAGCGCGAACACTTTTTCCACCGGTATTTTGAACAAATACAAGCCATGTAAAGCAATCTGAATATATTTGAATTTAATTTCTTTTGTAAAGAAGACGTCGTTACTTCTAGTTTTAATATTCAAAATGCCTTGGCACAAGTCTTCCCTTTCTCGTCAGTATTTCGCATTGAATGCGATTTTGATTCTGGATACTGCGTACACCCGGTGTTGAAATGTTACAGAAATAGAGAAATTGTCGATTAAACTGAAAGTTTCACACAACTGGAAGTTAGTTTATTGTAGAACCTGTTTTATAAATATATTTTCAATCTTTGTTATTTTTCCTTTGTACGAAAAATATTTTGAAACGAACTTTTACAGGAAATAAACATTATGATACTGCGTACACTCTCAAAAAATCAAGATACTGCGTACACATTTATGTGTTATTGATTCTGCCTACACTTTCTTCTAAGCAATCTAAGTTCTTAATGAGATCAAATGGATAACATTGGCGAACAACAAAAATAAAAAGATAATTAAAAAAATTCAAATCCTGTGATAAAGTATGCTCCCTTAAAATGTAGATGTGCAGTAATATAATCACCAAGGCCGTAGGTCTACGGACATCTGAACGACATATCGTGCTATATGTATAACACAGAGCAAACAAAATCAATATGTTTTTTTTTCCATTTTAACATGTCAAGAAAAACTATAGTTGGACTAAACTGGTGGAGGTTAAATTTGTTCTTGCCTCAGTGTTTGCGTTCTTCAAAGGCTTTTTATTCGGTTGATGCACTCAGTTTAATACTAAATTTATTGGACATGTTGAATAAAATAATATCATGCCCGCCAGAGGCTCGCATAATATAATTTTATTAAACTAGTTCAAGAAATTCACTATTAAACTTACATGTTTATCACATACACGTGTCCCTTTTGCGTCTCCTGCACGGTCGTGTTTATGTTACTAATTTAACCACCACCAATACAGTCCAATTATTATGGTACCCTCGCCCCGCGACCCCGCCAAGCAAAAAGTCGAAAATTAACAAGTTAAAATGGCGGGGGCGCGCAGCAAAAAGACGCTAATTAGCGGGGACGCGGAGCAAAGTTTACTAAATAAACCATCGCCCGCGGGGGCGCGGAGCGAGATTTAAGAAATACATGTAAAACGGCGGAGTTTAATAAATAAAACTTCGCCGCGGCCACGCTAATTAGCGTGTTTTCGTCCCGCGACCCCGCCAAGCGAAAAGTCGATAATTGACATGTTAAAATGGCGGGGAGCACGCTCATTAGGGGGCGCGGGGCGAAGTTTTATTTATTTACTTTTGCCCTCGCTAATTAGCGTGTTTTCGCTCCGCCCCCCCCCCCCCCGCCATTTTAATTTGTTTTACTGGACTTTTCGCTGGACGGGGTCGCAGGGCGAAAACACGAATGGCACAAATCAGCCACCAACCATAAACTATAGTTTTTCTTGACGTGGTAGAATGGAAGAAAAAAAAACATCTTGATTTTGTTTGCTCTGTGTTATACATATAGCACGATATGTCGTTCAGGTGTCTGTAGGCCTACGGCCTTTGTGATTATATTACTGCACATCTAAACTCGATACCGTGTCATATTATAGCACAGTTCACTCAAATTTAACATATATCTCTTTGTTTAACCAACCTGAAATTTATTTTCTCACCTTACTTAATAACGGGTACAAGATTCTTATCATACGAGTTTTAACAACTTGTTTGCCTAAGAGCATTAAGGTAGACAAAATGGTAGAACGCGACACTTTGCAAACTTTCGAGAAGCGTCTTGAAAATTGGCATGCAATAGTTGACCATATTTCTGATTAGGTTCCGTTGATTTTATTTCAATAGTTTCAGCCAATTTTTGTACACACGGTGTCAAAGTTGACCATCAGAGCCCGTTTTTGAACATGACGTCTTAAACTGTTACGGTTATTTCAACGCCATTGGCGGACAAAATATTTTAAATTCTACAGCATTTGACGGAAATTATTTTTTCCTTTAAGCTGATATAAAATTTATTGTTTTACGCCGAAAAATGTTTGAAAAATGGAAAGAAAATTGTCAATTTTGTGTAAAATTTGATGTTCAGTTTAGCCGCATTTTACGGCTTTATAGTGGCTTATTAAAAAATTCCTGAAATAAATTTTTGTTTTCTTTAAACGTACTTTAAAATGTATACTCAGTCTAAATGACTAAACAAAATAGGGGGTCACCGACTCAATTCTTTCGGTACACGTGATTTTACCCCTATGGATAAAAGTCACGGTATCACGGGGCGTTTGTTATTTTTATGTCATTAAAACGATCGCCCTGTTTCAAAATCCCGCTATAAACGAAATTATACGCCATTATGACCACTGCGGAAAATATATGGATGCAATAAAGGGTACGGAATTCCGAATATTATAGAAAGACAGGCAAAAATAAGTGAAATTTGAACACGTAGATGAACGGGACCGTATATCATGCAATACGTATATGACTAATATACCGTGATTCGTACACTCGTAATATATGGGAACTTTGTATGATGTCCGTATTTACAAAAATACGTATTGTTTTTTAATTACAAGGTCAGATTTTACCAAAATATGATTTTTTTTATTCTTGTAAATATACATTTTGTATATAAAACAGGGAATAAGGATGTACTTCAGAAAGACCCTTTTTCGTTTTACGATACGAATTTTCCATAGAAACGGATGTTGCATTCAATGCATACGCATTCTGCGTAGGACAGCAGTTATAAAGAAAAAAATATATAAAATCGGTATTCAACAACTATAAAACAAATTGATGTTTACCACAATGGCATTCAAACTTGCGTTCAGTCGTATATGTCAAGTAGTAATAAAATATACACATACCATTGAAAGGTCTCATTTGTAAGGACCATCTTAACGATGTCGTTATCTGGAGAAGAATTCGCGACAAATTGGCATACATTTATTTCTTAAAATGAGCTATAAATTTTACTATAAAAAGTTAGTTATTTTAAAATGTAATGTACGAAAAAAATTATCAGTTTAGAATGTTACATAAATGAGTAAAGAATTTTAATAAAAAGTATTAAACTCAAACGTTTTTTTGGATGTACATTTTACACATTTTAAGGGAGCATCCTTTATCACAGGATTTGAATCTTTTTTTCTTTTTTTTTTAATTATCTTTTTATTATTTTTTGTTTGCCATTGATATCCATTTGATCCCATTAAGAACTTAGACTGGTTCAAAGAAAATGTAGACAGAATCAATAAAATATAAATGTGTACGCAGTATCTTGATTTTTTTTGAGAGTATACGCAGTATCATCATGTCTATTTCCTTTTAAAAAAAAGTCGTTTTAAGAAATTTTTCGTACAAAGGGAAAATAACAAAGATTGAAAATTGAAAATATATTTGTGAAATAGTTCTACAATAAACTAACTTCCAGTTGTGTGAAACTTTCAGTTTAATCGACAATGTCTCTATTTCTGTAACATTTCAACACCGGGTGTACGCAGTATCCATTCAATATCGCATTCAACGCGAAATACTGACGAGAAAGGGAAGAGTTGTAATGTTAAAAGTAGAAGTTAGGCAAAAGAAATTAAATTCAAATCCATTCTGATTGCTTTACATGACTCGCTTTTGTTCAAAATACCGGTGGAAAAAGTGTTCGCGGTATCAGCATTTTGAGGATGCGCGCATGCTATACCCCCTTGTATCAGCAAATGTTTAGAAATCGATTATTTTGCAACCCTGATATTGACCCACTGATCCCTAACTCAGTCCGAAAGAAGACGACTATCAAGGGGCAGGACCTGAAGTGGTTGCACACTTGGTTCAAGAGAGGAAATTGGTTGCAAACTTGACAAAATGGCTAACATGTCATAAATATTTACAACACTCGCACGTATTTGCTTCAGGTAAGTGGGCTTGTATGCTATTATGAAATTCTTTAATATGCTTATTCCTTAACCCATTACTTCATGAGCATTTTGTGAAAAATGGCTGTTTTCATTGAAAAGTCTCCCGTTACAAGTTCAAATTGCTATAACACTACAAAAACTGCTTCAACACTAATCAAACTTGGCACAAATGTTGACTGGACCATTGCCCTTGAAACAACATGCTCAGGCTTAAATTTTCTGTTACCATGGAAACGAGGGGACATCTCAAAATTGTAAAAAATTACTATTTTGCGTTGATTTTTTCCATCAAAATTGATTTCAAAGTGCTGCAACTTCTCAATGGATTGAGATAGAGTCAAATGCTTTTCAGCGTATCTTTTGGTTGGGGGGCCGCGCCGAAAAAGTGGTCACTTTTTTAACAACATTTCTCAAACAAAAACAAGTGTTGGGGGCCTAAATAAGGCATTTTTTCACCATTAGAGACAACAACGGGGGGGGGGGGGGGGGTGAAAAAGGCGTTAAAAGGCGTGTATATCGCGTAATGGGTTAAAGCAATGAAAATGGCACACTCGGTTTAAGGTCTCAACTTAAAACTTCTGATATTACGAAGTTATTTAAGATATAAACTGGTTATATACATATTTTGAGATTTGACAAGTGACAGTCCAGGGCGATTTATATGGTCATTGATTCGCATCTGTAAGTTTTAAAGTTCACCAAACAAGACAAAATATGTATCTTTCAATACTGTGTAAATGTTTGAAATTAAGTTTCAATACACTCAAGCGCATTTTAGTAGCAAACTTATAGTTCACGCATTTATGGTTGCAAACTTTTTTTTTCTGTCAAATAATAAACTGCATAAGGATTCAGCGAAGATCATATTGATTTGTCAGATATTCGTTGAAAAAAATTATAGATGCAATTGCGTTTTTTTTCAATTGCCTTAAAACTGTTTTTTAAATGGCGTTTACATTTAGAGGTTTCTTTTACTTAGTTGTCAATTGTTATCATTTACTGGTGCGACCACTCCATGTCCCGACTTTTGTGCCCTCTCCTGCTTTTTGTTCGGCGCCCTACTGAATGCCTTTCCTGTAAAGTTTTAACGAAAATGGACCAGTAGTTTCTGAGGAGTAGTCCAATTGAGCTTATGTGTAGCTTGCAACAACAGCAATATTAACAACAACAACAACAAAAAACATCTTTTTTATAGAAGGGCCATAACTCGGCCAAAAATCGTTCAAACAGAAAACCTGTGTATCATGCCCAAGTACTTGACCTACCAATCAATCCTTTTAAGTTCCATTGAAATTGCATAAGTGGTATAAAAGGAATAACCCGGAAAAACTTTAAAAAAATAATAATGATTAAATTTCATTGAACAAACAAGCCGATGATATGCATGTAACTAGGCTTGGATGAAGTTGCACCACTAGTTTCTGAGAAGTAGTCCGGACAAGATTTTGTGTAGCTGGTAACACACACACACACGCGCGCGCGCGCGCGCACACACACACACACACACACACACAACACCTTTTTATTCAAGGGCCATAACTCGGCCAAAATTCATCCAACTGCAAAACCCGTGTAATATGCGCAAGTACTTGAGCTATAGATCAATCCTGTAAAGTTGCATTGAATTCCATCAGAGGTATTAGAGGAGTAGTCCGGAAAATCTTTAAAAATAAAAATCATTAAAGGGCCATAACTCTGACAAAAATCATTGAACCGGAAAATGCAGACGATATGCACAACTAGACTTGGTACTCTGACCATTCCTGAAAAGCTTGGATGAAATTGCACCAGTAATTTTTGAGGAGTAGTCTGGACAAGTTTTGTGATGAACGGACAGATTGATAGACGGGAGAAGTGATCCCTTTATGTCGCCACTACACAAAAACTATAAGCAACATATTTTCACCCCGTAAGCATCACGGCTTTTCATCACAAAATATCACCTGAGTCCGTACGAACGAATGTTTCAATTACTACATGTATATGCCGGGGCATAATAATTAAACCAGCATGTGTCAAGATTCATGCTGATTTCCATTTTTAAAAAAAATATTAAAAAGTTAAATATTATCAAATGAACAAAGAAAGTACATGTAATTTAATTCACATTGCAAGGAGCAATTGAAATCTACGATTATTACAAAAATAGGTTAGAATACGCAAAATTAATCCTTAAGTGTTCGTCATGCAGTTGACAAATAGTGATAAATACTCCAAAATCAGTCGTGAATTGTATGTAACACGTAAACTGTTTTTTGAATTTTGAATATTTTTTACATTTCTAAAAATCTTTTACATTTTTTTCAAGGTTGATTTAAAAAAAAAATATTTACATGTATATAATTTTGGCTCATCTGGGGGCATGCGGCTTTAAAACGTATTTAAGGAATATTCGTATCTTTTTTAAAAACAGATTCTTCTTGAATAACAACAATGCTAGAAAACTCATCACATGTTTGAAATTGTGTGGAAACTTGTACTAAAATTTACCTTGAGAGCATAATTCTTGCGACCAATGACACAATATGCGAACTAAACAATAATACTAATGCCGTGGCTTTGCCCTATTTAAATGCGTCGCCATTTGAACACGAGAAACAGGCAGGCTATAGTCGCTATCATTTGGGAATATGCTGGCCCCCACATACAAAGCGCATCGCATTTATCGCAAAGATGAGAGTCACGTTTAGATTTGTCAAAATATCTTGTGAATGGAGTAAAAACGGCAATAGTTTTGATGTTTATTTGGCATATTGTATTGTTAATATTGGAGATAAATTGTTGATCGTGTAGAAATTTATTCCATGCGTCAATGGACAAAATGATTACGTGAAGATATTAAAAATGAAAAAAAAAATGCAAGACGATTTTGACGGTAGGTGTGCGGATTTTTTCCAACGGACATTTTTTATCTTTTGTATTATTATAGACGTTGTTGTTTATTAGGGTTTTTTTCTCTTCATTTTTTTTTCTTCAAAACATCAAATATTAAATTTCATTTAAATTTCATTGATATATATGATAAGTACATATGCTGGTATTAACAAATATACATTCTTTTATTCTAAGGCGTTTGGAGCTCCACACACCAAGTGTCTCTGACCATTGAGTATTACAATTATATCAAAATAAACGTGTTTTAAGGGCAAAGTATATTACCAGGCTCCTGTCATCATGATTACATATTCTGCGTCTTTCGACAGTTTCATTTCCCTCAGAGTATCAACTAACATTTTTAAAGCAGCCGCTTTATTGTTCATGCCCATGCGAAAATGATCAAGTATCTGTAATATAAAATTATAAGTCACGATAAATGGGTGTTTGTTTGATATTATTAATGTCATAATGGTGACTTTAAAAAGATATATTGTGCCAACACATTAGTTCGCGCTTCATTTACTGGCGCTATATATGTGCGGATCAGATTGCAGTTTTATTAACATACAGCCAAATAAAAATCTCAAAAAAATGTAATTTATCAATATCAGAGCTGCATCAGTACTAAGGGTGTAGTACTTAAGTACCAGTACCTGGCAAATTTTGCAGTACCATTACCAGTACCAGTACTAGATTTTAGCTCGGTACTGCAGTACCATTACTTTTTTTTGGTGAAGTAATTAAGTATCAGTACCATTACTTTTATATATTCATCAAAGTTTGAATAAATACAGTGTCAAACAAATAATTGCAAATATTATTCAGCAAAGAAATAAAATCATAATTTACTTTAAAGTTAACATAACATATTTACAACTTTATAGTTTTAACATACTTTTTACAAACAATATTTACAACATATATTCATGTGACTTCATATCCAATTGTTTAGTAACCAGTCAACTGTATAAATACAATGCAATTTATACCAAAGTAAATAACAACTTTTTATGGTGCTAACAATATCACTTTTTTCACTTGAAATGGGATTAATTAGAACAGAAGAAATTAATTAGTGTTTATTTTGCTCTTTTACTAGTAAATACAAAGTAATAATAAGGTTTGTACACATTATTTGGACAAAGCAATTTATCATGCACTCAGGATAACGGTATGTTGCTTTTAGTATATTAATACAGAACCGTACGTGAAGTACGGAATTTAGTTATCTTCCTTTCTGGAAAACACCGTGAAGAAAAAAGTCGAACTCATTTGTAGAGAAGCATTTCTTTGGCAGAATACGGGCATGGTTTATTTAGAGACAGATATTTTATTAAGTAGGCAGTATCTGTACATCAGGCTGTCAGTAACACATGGTGATGTGTTTTTCTAAATTGTCAAATTTTAGATTTGAGGGGATAAACTTGATATGTTGTGTTTTGGAGGCTGCCCGTTGATAGTGAAATTTGGCGCCTCACTGTTGAATTTTGTTTAGCAAAATGTTTGCTATCACCAGACTGTCCTGCATATTTGGGCAAGGAACTTTTTATATTTCATGATGCAGTATGTGATCACCAGGCTGTTTTCATGATTTTTCAGTTGATAGACTTTGTTTTGTTGTTTTTTTTGTAGGCTACCAGTTGTGCCTCATTGTATTTGATTTCATATAAAACATATATTTCAAGCAGCCATGGACATAAATTGCCAATACAATACAAAATAAATTTATAGAAATGATAACACCTTTTTGTTTTTATCAAGAATTTATTTTGCCCCAACCTGTTGTGCTGATAAAAGATTTTATAAGGATATTTTAGGATAAAGAGTTATTGAGTATGTTTATCTTAATTTGTTTTTTACTTAAAGTCTTTGGTGCTTTTTATGATGAATACCATGTTAACATTTGAAGTAATATTGCAGCAAATTATCTTTAGAAAAAATAAAATATAGTTAATGTAATTTACAGCTTTATTTTATGAGAAAAATTGATGCTATTTTTAATTTTTATCAAAACCAAAAGTACTGGGTAATGCAGTAGCAGTACCACTTTTTTAGACAGTAATACAGTACCAGTACCAGTAGTAGCAAAATTTTGTAAGAGTAATTCAGTATCAGTACCAGTACTTGCAAAATCGCTGCAGTACGTACTGCAGTACCAGTACCAGTAATGCAGCTCTGATCAATATATATATATATTTACGCAGGCGTAAAATGGCTGCGCTGTGCACTACAAAAGAAATACTTGCTGTTTTGTTTAGATCTGTGTAGTAAACTGTTGTTAAAATTAAAGGGGAAACGTTACGACACGAAACTTTATCACATCGTACTAGTAGTACTCGTCTTATACTACGATAGTATTGTGCCAGGAATCCGACAACATATATCTTATTTATATATAGACAGAGCTGACACAGTCGTAATGATTTATCCTTAGACATTTATTTTATCCCAATAAATGATATATGCAAATGACCAACAATAAAACAAATTTTAGCGTAAACACAATATACATGTCTAAGACATTAACGGCATTAGACCTGTTACCAAATGTAACCAAAACAAATAAATAAAATAAACAACACTATTCAAATCATCTCAAAAGAAAAAATACAAAATTTTTAAAGTTATAGAGTCACCGTACCTGTGCTCGACCAGCCCAGTGCTTGACCAATACTTCTCTTTGCGTACGATTTATGCATTAAAGTAAAACAAACTGTGTGTGCTACTTGTACCTGACTTGTACCTGACTGTAACCTCTACACCATTTACAAGTACTCCAGGTTTGGAAGAAGCTTGGCCATTTTGCAGACGATATTTAACAGGACAAAATACATTTTTATATTAAAAGTAGCATTTAAAAGTATTTAAAACACTGAAATAATGCCATTTAAGGTAAATTTGGACAATACTTTGTTGTAAAATTGCATTTACTCTTACGCTTCCAATTAATTTCCATGGGAAAGGCGCCCAAAAATCATCAAAAGCCAGCTTTCCATACAAGGCAAGGGCTATGAACATGTAAACAAAATATGGCAGTTGTCCGGTAACAAATAGGGAACAAACTACTAAAACGTAGACCAACTGTATATTACATCAAGTATCACACTTTGCTATGTTTGCAGAGTTATTTTATTTAAAAAATATGAGAAAAAGTAATCTCAAACTCTTCAGTAACTGTACATTCCAAAACTCTTTATTTGTCAATGTAAACATTACCTTCGAATTCCTATCATATTTACTCTCATATTTGTATCTATACACACTGAAACATAAATCTTTCAAACTATTTTTGAAATAGAATTCTTCAACATTAAAAGTCATATATGTTTTTCAAAAATAAAAGTTCTGATAGAGATATAACCATCTGATGGAGCACTGGTTTGGTTGCCTGAAAAATATAGTGGTTTTAGGCCCTATGTACAACTCCGTGGTAAATTGTTTCCTGATCTGCGTCATTAAAACGCTTTTGTTTATTGTGAGATTCAAAGGCCCAGATCTGTAACAAAAATAAGTTTCTCAGCAATCTTTTGGTTTTGAAAGAGTTTTTTCTGTGATTTTGTGAAATACTGGTTGAGCACTGGTCCGGTGACCCTATATATTTCAATTTCTTCAACTTGTTTCCTAGTTTCTAAAAAAAAAACAACAACAACAACCACGCATGATTTTATATTAGCCTGGTTCCACGATATAAAATCTTCGGTAAACTACACGATATTAAATATTCGGTAAACTACACGATATTAAATCTTCGGTAAACTATTCGATAAACAACGCGATGTTCAATCTTCGATAAACTACACAATATGAAATCTTCGATAAACTACACGATATTAAATCTTCTGTAAATTACGCAATATTAAATCTTCGATAAACTACGCGATATTAAATCATCGGTAAACTACGCGATATTAAATCTTCGGTAAAACTACACGATATTAAATATTCGGTAAAACTACACGATATTAAATCTTCGGTAAACTACACGATATTAAATCTTCGGTAAACTACGCGATATTTAATCTTCGATAAACTACACAATATTAAATCTTCGATAAACTACACGATATTAAATCTTCGGTAAACTACGCGATATTAAATCTTCGATAAACTACGCGATATTAAATCTTCGGTAAACTACGCGATATTAAATCTTCGTTAAACTACACGATATTAAATCTTCATTAAACTACGCGATATTAAATCTTCGGTAAACTAAGCGATATTAAATCTTCGGTAAACTACGCGATATTAAATCTTCGGTGAACTACACGATATTAAATCTTCGGTAAACTACGCGATATTAAATCTTTGGTAAACTACACTATATTAAATCTTTGGTAAACTACGCAATATTAAATCTTCGGTAAACTACACGATATTAAATCTTTGGTAAACTACGCAATATTAAATCTTCGGTAAACTACACAATATTAAATCTTCGGTAAACTACGCGATATTAAATTTTCGGTAAAGTACGCGATATTAAATCTTCGGTAAACTACACGATATTAAATCGTCGGTAAAACTACATGATATTAAATCGTCGGTAAACTACACGATATTAAATATTCGATAAACTACGCGATATCAAATCTTCGATAAACTACACGATATTAAATCTTCGGTAAACTACACGATATTAAACCTTCGGTAAACTACACGATATTAAATCTTCGGTAAACTACGCGATATTAAATCTTCGGTAAACTACAGGATATTAAATCTTCGGTTAACTACACGATATTAAATCTTCGGTAAACTACACCACATTAAATCTTCGGTAAACTACACGATATTAAATCTTCGGTAAAGTACACGATATTAGATCTTCGGTAAACTACAGACATTATTGCAGTACATTATTTGTATACGGAGATAAGAAAACATTGTCTTTCTATTTAATAAAAATGTAAGTAAATTGCAACAAAGCAAAGGAGAATGTGAAATTGGCGTTGAACTGTACTTAAGTTATTTTCATTTTTGACATGTTTCCTAAACTTCATAACATTACGGTTCAAAGAAACTGACTTACCGATTTCAAGGAGATAAACATTCTATAATAACTTCTTTTCATATATCAAACCTACTTTAAATGTCTTCATTCCATTATTGGGATACAGCCTGTTGTTGGCAAGGACGTCTGACGCTGTACCAGCCGGTACTGACAGTGCTGAAGCAAGTTCACATGATGGACTGACACGATCAGCAAGCATTACCAAGAATGAATCAGACATTGGACTGTCATAACCTACATGTTTAATTTACAGTTTTATTACAGATACTGTATTGCAGAATTCAAATATAGATTGATGTGATTAATATTTTTCTTATTTCAACAGCTGATTAATGATACATTCTAACAAATAAGGTTAAAATAAAACAACACTAGAATACCAAAAAAACTTATGAAGACCGATATCTACAAATGTGTTTGTTGTTAAGTTTCCAGTAAATTGAAGAAAAAGCTTCTTATACAAGCTTATGTAGAATTGAGCTAGTATAATGATTCCTTTTTTCAAACAAAATAAATATTTACGTGTTGGAATAAGAAGATCATATTTGTAGGCGATAATAAGCCATTCATAGAAGGAATCACTTCGATTTTCCGGATTGGTTTTCCTTAGAACAAAATACAATTACAAGTCAAATAAATACAATTACAGTAATAACAAACATATAAAGCTCAGTTTAACCTTAATTTTGCTTAATGATTTTTACAAATTAACTAACAAACGTCTGATTTTATTTATAAAAATAGTTTTGTTTTTTACTGTAGTAACGAATTAAGTAAATCTTAAATATACTCGCGAAGTACAATTATTAAAATTGCATTATTCAAGAAAAGGTAATGATAATGAATTATTTGGAAAATACCAGATAAGAAGTTGTCTTTGTATGTCATTTGCAACTAGTCTTTTACCACATCGACACAGGGCAGACATAAGGATAGGTATACCCCTTGACTTGTCGCTTCTATTCTTCTCTTTCCAATCAAACCATAGCTGTATATTATAAAACGCAACTATTCCATGTGATACAATTTTGCTTTGAAGAAAGTTTAAGCCATAAACATATTTCAATTGAATGTTAAGTATTATGGTAAAACGGCTTCATACCGACAATTTATATTATCAACCAGAAATACTACAATTTTAGACTATGATACCTACAGTGCAACAATTGTCAGTGCTTGTATACTGCCTAACGCAATATAATTGAGTATTCGATTTTCACATACTTTTTTTTATTGTCTTTGGGCACGCATTCGTTACAAAGAAAATCAAGTAACTTCAAAACATGTAGGGAATGCATGGAAAAATAATTGAACTGTACCCCATTTATCTTCTCCTCCAGACTGCCTGAGAATTCAGACATTGTTTTCTCAATCGTTTTAAATGGAACATCTATGAGTATAAGCACTTTCCACCATACATCAAATATTGCTTTTTGAAGCTCAATCATACGTCTGTATGTCAGGAATGCTAGATATTGTAAAATAAAACCAAATAAATGTTTCAACATGCCTATAACTAAATATATACCTTTATTCCTTGACGAGAAGTATGTTTCTATTTAAATTTGTACTTTCTTGAATTGTCTTGTAAAAAAGGTTTCCTAATAGAGCGATCTGTATCTATGCATATATATTTGTGTAATTGAATTGTTACAACGGACATTGTAACTATCATAAATCGTCCAAATATCAATGTTTTAAATTAGTTTTTCTTACAGACGCTGTCATATTCATCTTAACGAAGGTCAAAGACTAATTCTTCTTACTAAATGTTGATCAAATGCACTTTTATCAACAAACTAATATCCTGACATATTGTAATATAATAATACTTCAGTAATGTAGTTTCGTTACCATAGTAACGATTTGCCATTCATTGCAATTTTAAATAGGTGCTGTCGTTGAATTTCTAATGAAATCTAAATACTTACATTTGCCATCAAGTTTGTCTATCATGCTTGCATTGAAAGCTAACAGGGAAAATTCAAAAGAGGCAATCTTTTCCAATTCTTCGTTTCCATCGTCTTCTTCTGAGCTATCTTCTTTCTTTGTTAATTTGAATAATTCAAAATGACCAGTTCTTATGGTCTCACAAGTTGGAATTTTTACTGATAAATTCTTGCAAGATCTTTCCAATTTTGGCTGAAAATCTAGATAAAGATCATCTCGTGCCTCAGCTACGTCAACAGATTTGCTTGTAATTTTGAATCGTTGTTTAGCTTTTGCTCTTATTTCTGATTCATTATTAAGACGCTTTAAACTGTCATGATTGTCAAAACCCTCACCCTCCCAATATGCAATATTAGCAGCCCTTTGATCTGACTTGCAACACACGATCACTATCTTGAATGTATTTGAGGTACCAACTCTTCTTGACATGCAGATGAATGTGATAGCATGTTCCCTTCGCCTTGATTTTCGATAAATACGGCTTATCTGACTAACAATACTTCCGAAACTTGTTGAACTTCCAAATTGTGACATATCACCAGGAATTCTTGCCGATGTTTCAATTGCTACTTTACTGAAATTAAACTGGAAACTTTATTAAAATATAGGTAAAAATCACAAATTGCAAGTTTGCTTCTTCAGTAAGTTAGAACTTATGACTGGACGAACAGTAGAAACATATCGGCTATTTCCGTCAGTCTCCGGTTAAGCTCAAATTAGGAATAATAGGCGAGGTGTATTACACCACACTTTGGGGTCCGACCACAATGTGCGTTAAACTTCGCATCCAACGCACTTTAGAGTCAAAATCGAGAAATTGACCCCAAAGTGCGTTAATATGCTACATATCAACGCACTTTGGGTTCCAGAGGTCTAAAGGTGTCATCTGAGTTCTGCTTAAATACTGAGTACTGACTTATTTCCGATCTGCGACATTGAAATATTTGAGGTGGAGTTCAAGATGGCGGTCGATACTTTGTTTGATGCTTAAGTGATAAAAGTTTCATTAATTTTACCACTTGAAATATCTAAAAATTGTGTTCATATAACAAAGTACTCTAGTACATAAATTGTGGATGTATTCCTAAAATTAAAAGATGCCGCGAAAAATATCCCGTTCTGTCAGTCATTTACTTGATAACTTTTGGTGCCATATTGAGCCCCATTTTAAATATGATGGGGATGAAATAAAATGCAGTTATATTTTTTTCCAAAGAACTATAAATATACTCTATTGCAATGTTCTGGTGAAATATCAAGTTTTTCGATCGGACTATAAATAACTTAAACTTAAGGGGTTTTTTGTAAGCTCCGTAACAACCGTTCTCCAGAGGCTTTTTAGTGGGAAATCTTGCATGAATTTTATAATGTTAAAATAATGGTATCAGAGAAATGTAAGATGCTTGCTATAAAAATGTGAAATTATTTGTCATAAAAATAGTCAAAACAATGTAGTATTTGACTTCCATATAAAATACTAATTCACTATAACTGTACTCATCATTGCCAAAAAGCAACAGTTGAAAAAGATGGTGCAGGTAATTTGCCAATGTGTATTTTTTTGATATTATAGAAGAACATCAAAATAAAAGCTTAAAAAGCTTTTAAGAAAAACACATAAAAGCATAATGAGCCTTTAAAACGTTATTTTAACCCTTAAATGTCGCAACACTACCGCTAAATATCGCAAGATGTATATTCATGATAAAATTAAGCTTGTAAGTGGTATTCTATTACAATAATCATAGAGTAAATGGGTTGTTTATCTTTAGTAATTTTGGAACCTAAAGGAATGTCTTAAATCTGCTGACTCAAGCCGAAATACATGTATGCTTTTTGAGTGAAATTAAACTGTAAAAGAGATTGATTAAATTAAAGTATGCAAGTACGCTACATGTTATGTGCATATGATAAGCATCTGTTAAGTGTTAAGTGTTAAGTATATTGCTTTGCTTACTTGTGTCCGTCTACTTGCCCCTCACCGTGTGTGTTCGAATCCCGCCAGGGACTTAGTATTATTTTATATGTGGAAGATACTCCATGGCAGCTAGTTTACGGCACGTCACTGGTTTTATCAGGTTCCCGTTCGTGTCTGAAATAATGTACGGAATGTCACCTGAGGTCTTACTTCACCAGTAAGATTGAAAAGTCACAATATTTCCCTGACGTAAAAATCCGACAAAAATCTATTTGTATCACACTGCTTATTTTGTATATATTGCTGTAAGTACAACGTTCTACAATCTGAATATCAACTTGATTAATTTTAGGTTATACATTTTTTTTTAGTTCTGGAAGCTCAAAGCATAATAATGGTACGAACCAGTACTAAGCAATGCTTGTAAAATTATTTGCTATCGGTAAAACGACTTGCCACTGCCACGGGGCCATCAATCTTTAGATTACTAGTCTGGCAATCACTCGGCAATACCGCAACTTGATTCTTCCTAACAGAAGTCTCATTAATAATCTTTTAACGCACATTCAATGTGTTCGGTCAGATCCAAGACCAAATAAAAATTAATAATTATAATTCGGGCTATGCTACATGTACGCTTGTGAGTGTGTGAGTGCGCGTTTGTGTATAATTGTGTTTGGTTTAATTGCCTTTGTTACAGCCAAAAAACATGAGATCACTTCCAATTCTTTTCATTATGCCACGGCTAGCCGCTATTCATAATAAATAACGCAATAGAATATGATCTTACACTCCGTGAGCATCTACATTCTTGCCAATGCTTGAACTCCAACTACATACCTTATAACCAAATGGCTCAAAATGATATCAATATCAGTCATTACAGATGTTTGTGATTTATAAACTTCAATGTTTCCAAATATTGTTTAATATAAAATATGTGATTAAGATTTGCTACTAGTTTACCTGCGTCTAAAATAAAATGACCTATCATTTTACCTACTGGCGATACCTAAGTGATGTACCTTTACTTACCACGATACCACGCGATACCTTGAGCTTTTTTTCCAAAAATACAGTAATCCTTTGAGACTACATGTCGGCAAAGTCTTGCATTATTCCAACGGCATCAAACTATCAGAAATGTGATACAACGGAGATTTTATAACTTCTTGAGAACCTTTTAAAACAAAGTTTTTTTACACTGGGCTGCTTCTAGAATCTGTGCTAAAAACACTGAAAATGCGATTGAATTTGGTGGTGTTGACTGGTCTATTAACGTGCAACAATTTCCTATTACATCGCTTGTTGCCATTTAAAAAAACAAAAACAAAAGTAACTAGAATCAAAAAATATTATTTTTAACATGTAAGTATCATCTTGTATCATCAGCCCGCCAGGTTAAACCAATAAAAGTAAAGTGTCTGTCATTCTCTTTCGCTTTTCTAGATGATTTATGTGGAGAAGTGCAAAAGAAAAAGCATATTAAACTGGCCATAATAATTCTGTTTTTTACTGGCAATTAAAAATAAAGAAAAAAGAAAAGAACAACAAACTAATCAGATTTGTTTACCGCGATAAAATTTATAAAACTAATCCCATTGTGATACCTAGATAGTATAATATCTATAATAAAGGTCTATAAAACATGAAAGGCCGAAATACTGACCTTAAATCAAATTTTAATTGAATCTTCCTGGGACAATCTTGTAGCTTGAACTTATATCTGGGTAACTAAATGAAAAAAATATACAAATGCGTTTTATCACCAAGGGACCCTAAAGCATAAATAATGGTCGTTCATTTATAATACCAACAAAGATTACTTTAATTTTTAACCAATATTTTAGATATCACAGCAAATCCTTTCATGTCACTTACATAACCTTTATATTGGCATTATAACAGTTTTTGTACATTAATTTAGATATTGCGACATTTAACGGTGGTGTTGCGACATTTAACGGTGAGGGAAAATTGTGCGACATTTAACGTTACAGTAGCGACATTTAACGGTACACGATTTTGCGGCATTTAGCGGCGGTTGCGACATTTAGCGGCAATGGTGCAACATTTAGCGGCAAGTGCGACATTTAGTGGCGTTGCGACATATAACGGCGCCACACATGCATTAACAATGTTCAAAATGGCGCACAAGTGACTCAGGTATACAGACTGATGTGCATTACAAAAGTAAGTACACAATGCATAAAAGTTATATTAATGTAAATGTTTACTCATAAGCATATATATTGGTTCAACAATTCAACTTAGTACAACAAATACTTGCATAAAGTAAATATATGGGTACTATTTATTGTATACAAGATGGATACACTTACTTTTGATTGACAATTCTTTAAAGAAAAATAAACTGAGAACCACTAGCCATACAGTAGCGTTAAATGTAACGTACATATAAAAGATATTATGTCCACTTCGATGTTAATTTTTCGTCTATGTAAAGTCGTATTTTGAAGCAGAGCATGCGCATAAGTATGTTTGTAGACTAGTTTTAATTATTTTAGGCTATAAATGAGATTCATTTACATCAATTTGATACGCAAAAATATAGTGGCTGATTTACGCCTTGTCGTATTTTCGCTTCTTCCCCTAAATATGCGAACATGTAAAAGCACGAAGAGTCGAACAAAGTCGACAAAGTTCGTGTTTTCACTTTGTTACATTTTCGCATTGTTGTATTTCCGCTTTTTGCATTGTTACATTTTCGCATTGTTACATTTCGCATTGTTGCATTTTCGCTTTTTCGCATTATTACTTTTCGCATTGTTACATTTTTTCATTTTCGCGTCCCGGTTGTACATGCGCATGGAGACGTCAATTTATTATTATTATCATTTTTATTATTGTTGATATGTTTTATTCAAGTAGATGTATAACTGAATAGTATCATCCCGCACATGTAAAATAATTAAATGCTATAAAGGTAAGGCTTTTAGACTGTTTTGAATCAATTAATGCAACAATTATAACTAGAGACTGCATAACAAATACATGTATGTGTTCCTTCCATTCTCAGATTATCAGTTTATTTTATATTTTACCGCTGACGGGTGTACAATAAGGCAGCACACACACATATTAAAAAGATATTTCCTCTGAGAATGATGTGTATTTTCACAGGAAAACATTTATAATGTCTGTTAATTCTAGTACTAGAGTTTTGTAAGACATACTTTATTTGATAACGTAAAGTGCATCTTGGATTAAGTTTGAAAAAAAGGTTTGATTATTTAATTTAATAAAAACACATATGAAAAGTTGTGGTCGCCATAGTTTCGGCCTTTCAGCATTCTTCAGTGACTTTTATTGCATTTTAAAATTTATATATAATATTTAAAAATATTTATATTCATTATTACATTATTTCGTGCTGCCAGGCGTTCTACAAAGCTGTCTTGGCGGTCATTCTGTCTGAAATACACGGCTTTCAATAAAAGGAAAGCAATTCAAATTCATAAAAAAGTTGTCAAAAAGTATAATGTATTTAGTATGACATGTATGGCATGTTAAACGTTGCAATATTCAAAAATTAAATTTTTGTTCTATATCAAAATTTATATTGTATAACTCTAATTTTATATGCTATACCATAATATTTACTCTATCCTACTAAAAAATTTTGTTCATCAAAAAATATTATTTTTTTGTGTGCGATAATAAGAGGATATTTTTTCGTTTGCGTGAAATATGGAATATATTTTCACGAAACATGATAAAATGCCACATATTTTCACGAGCCGGTACGGCGAGTGAAAATATGTGGCATTTTATCATGTTGAGTGAAAATATATACCATATTTCACAAAAAAAAACCGAAAAAATAACCTTTTTATTTAATTTCATTATCAAAGAAAATGGTAACGAATCCCCTTGCTTGCTACCAACTGCAATTGTACAGCGCGCAGTAATTTATGCGTAAGCACGCGCTGTTTGGCGCTACATTGTGACGTCATGTAAACAACTCTTTAAACGTCTGTACAGCGTTAATTACTGAATTAAAGATATTAGTGTTCGGATTAATTTTCTTAGTTAGACCATTTTCTATCATGCTAGATAGTTTTCAAAACAATATTCAAGAAAAAGTTGTTTTGAATTTATCAGATTTTTCAAACAAAACGGCGAAAGAAGTCCCTTAAAATAAATATGAGTTTTGACTCCGCCCACTTTCATATTTATATTTCATATTTATTTTTAAAAAATATGAAATATATTTGACTGATATAGCACCATATTTCATGGGTAAAATTAAATAATTTTCTATATATATTTGTTCTATATTTAAAAATATATATTGTATGATTGAAAATATTTATTGGATAATTAAATCATGGGATAGCATACTAAGCCCCGCCTATAAAGTAAGCACGAATTTCTGATAAAGCGTTATCATCCTTATTAAACTAGACTATATAGTGTAGTGGAAATGATCAACCGCCTGTAATAGTGTATAATATGAAAATAGATTTTAAAGTCTACAGGACATGCAATCGTATAATAATGGTTTTTCATATGCCTAATAATTTAACCACGATATGAACCTATGTGAGGATTTCATGTAAGATGCATTTACATAAAAATACACGGAACATAAATCGGAATATATCCCCTATATATGAAACGAAAAATACCAACAAGAAACATTAACAAATGAAAATGTTATGCCGTTAACGCAATGTGCATGTAAAGCGACCCGGCGCACGGTATAACTTTAAAATTTGACGTTAACGACGTCGCAAGCGTATTGTTTTTAACGGAGCAGCTCTTTACTCATTTACGAAGTAGGCTAATACGTGTTGTTAATTGCAGTTGATTCACTGCCTGTATATACCTGTACAAGTCTGTATCACACTGTGTTGTAATAGACTGTATGATTATAAATGAGCTCTTGCAATGACGCAAACTTCGGTTCTTTCCATCTTTAACTTGATAATAAACTATTAAATGTCTTATATTTATATAATTTTGCTGCATGATTATGTATCATACATACGAGAAAAGAATAATACAACTAAGAAGCCGCGTCGGAAATTTCGACGCAGAAGCGGCGGAAAAAATACGGCGTTTGCTTTTGTCGGTAAGTTTATGACTGAATTTTGCTTTATGCTTTAATGTTTTACTGGAAACACCTAGTGAAACTGGAGCCCACATATGTACTTTTCCAACTTATTACACGCACACGGTGCCATTCATTGCCATTTTGTGCAATCACTTCTGTACATTTTGACGAGGGGACGCCACTTTTGCCTAATTTTGGTTAAAACACGTACACATGTGTGCAAAACGACCCCTAAATACGCCAACATTACATGGTATGTATGATAAATGCACAAAACAACCATATTTTGGAACTTTTGAAAATTGTTATTGCCTTTTTTAAAGAAGAATTGACAAAAATTGTTTACAACGCAGACGGCGGTCGATTTGATTGCAACGCAGTGCGTTTGTCCCGATACAATTATTGTCTATTATGAGGGTTTACTTGACATAACTCATTTTTCAATAGAGTACAACACTTTTCTTACTTTGACATCAGAGAAACGTGTTTCTTTAGTTTAATTAAAATAATATGATTACTTATGCAAATAGATGTTCGAGTTGCGCTTCCATTTTCCTTCCATTGTAATTCCTTTTGTAGAATAGTTTACGTTCAACCTGGAACTTAAGTTCGAGGTTTAACAACAAACATATAAAAGAAATTCCCGTAAAGATTAACAGAACCTACTTCTTAAATATGAAAAACAATCTCAGTTTTGAATGTCACTGTGTTAAATTACCATACTGAGAACACCAATTCGTACTTGTATCATAGTTTGGGGACCTTTCTGTTGAAAATGTGTCAGAGTTCAATCGTTTACGTATACAGTCATAGTTAACACTGGAGTGCAGTTTATGTTACCCGCACTCGAAAGCATGTCCATTGATTGGTTCATTTTTTTCTGGGGTTTACTTATTGTAACGACAGTGAAAGGGATAACGATAGAAATGTCATATTTAGTACGCTCCCTTCGCAGCTCACTGAATACACTCACGCTACTTCAGACAAGAAAGTGAGCGATAGAAGAATATTCGACCGATGCGCAGGAGTACATATTTAGATGCTCGTTCATTGGTTACGTTTTTCTTGGGTTTCATATTGCGACAACAGGAAATGCGTTTTTATATTTGCCTGTGATACAAGAGTTTAATATTGCGACAACAGGGAACGTGTTTCTATTTTTGCCTATGATACAAAAGAGCTTTTGTAGACCAATAGCCAAAATGATATTGTTAAAAACCGTGCGCATCATGTGTATATGTACATATTTGATGTAAATATCTTACAATCTTACATTTGGTTAAAAAGAAACATAATATGAGAACATAATATAAGAAATTAGAAAAAAAATAATAGTCTTTAAAACCCCTGTCACATTAGGGTGGCTTTCTCACGGCGTCCAAAGAAAATTTAGAACGCCGAGGTGAGCGCAGTAAGATCGCAAACATCGCCGCAGCATCGCAGTGGCATCGCATGGAACGCCGACCGACGGCGCGCATTTTGAACATGCTCAAAACAAACGCCGTCACTCTGACAAGAGCGCTGTGGGATCACAGTAAGGACGCCGTAGCAACTCAGTAGCATCTTCTACAACGCAACAGGAGCACCGTGAAAGCACAGAAGGGTCGCCGATTTAACGCCGGGGTTAGCCACGGCGCTTGTACGGAGATTGTATGGCGTCTCTATCGCACTTATACAGCGTGTATACCGCGCTTTTACCGAGCTGTCACAGCGACAATTGCGTCCTCAAGGCGATTCTACTGCGTTAATCTGAAATTGCAGAATACATTACAGTTGAATTCTTACTTAAGACCACCCCGGAATTAAGACCATCCCTCTTTAAAGATAAATTTTTAAAAGAACGGAGGTTTCTGTTCTTTATGTTAATGCTAACATGATCCATAATCAGGACAACCCCACTTATCTACTTTTAAGATTATCAGTTTCAGTTCCAATTCATTGTTTTATTTATCTTACCCCACTTTTGAGACAACTGATATTCCAGTCAATATCTATTCAGATCTTATTCATCTGCTTGAATCTCTTAAACATGGCACTTTCTAAAACTGTTATGATTGGAAAATTGTCTAAAGGTGAGAGAATAAACTTCCTAGTTGTTTAATGTTACTCTCTGCGCATTGGTTTTGTGAAGAATTAATGTTTTTAATTAATAGGTGAATTACCTACATGAAACAAGGCGTATTTCATATTAAATATCTTCAGACTTATGCTCATATTTGAGTAAAATATTTTAATCAAAGAAATGTGTTAAAACTTATGAAATCCTTACTGAATATGTATAATTCGAATATGAAAATGAACTAACTATGTATTGGAAGTCGCGTTTGCTTTTACAGAACAAGTAAAGTTGGTCTTTTCTTAAAAAAAAAACTGCCAATTTTTTTACGACACTATATATGCATATTGTGACCACCTATAGTGTGTAAAGTTTTATAACCTGAAATATCTACTTTGTGTGAAGTCAAAACATGTTTATTTTATATTTACAAAGAGACTGTGTAGCAATTACCAATAATTTCTGATATCAAATTTGTATATTATATCTTTAATATTAAAGATTGATTTTCATAGGTCTTATTTCATGTACATAATTCACCTATTAATTAATTCTTCACACAATAAATTTGCAGAAAATAACATAATTCCACTCTGAAGTTTATGTTCCACCTTTATACAATTTCATTTCACTCAATTATTTACTTACCATACGAAACATACATTAGGATA